ACCTGTGAAATGAGGAAGATACTTTGGGGATAAAACCCGGATCCGTCTTGAGGACAACCCTGTCCTCAAAAACGGTCAGGTAAGGCTCCCTAATAGAAAGGGCATGTAATTCACTCACCCTACGGGCTGATGTGATAGCTATCAAAAACACCACTTTTAAAGTCAAAATCCTATTCGTAGATTCTTCCAAAGGCTCAAAAGGCTTGCGGATGAAAGCCTTCAGGACTAAGGTTAAGTCCCAAAGTGGGCAAGTCTTGACCCTCACTGGTCTAGACTTGGAAAGAGACCTGAAGAAGTCCACAACAAAAGGATTCTGCTGCAGGGGAACCTGAAGAAAAATGCTTAGGGTCGAAGCCTGTACCTTTAGGGTGCTGATTGAGAGACCTCGATCCGCCCCTTCCTGAAAAAAAATCCAAGACTGCCGGGATGTCTGGGGGCCCCTGCCGCTGACCCGAAAACCATGAACTAAACTTTTTCCAGACTTTCGAATAAATGGCTCTGGTAACTGGCTTACGGCAGTTAAGCAAAGTTCTTACCGTGTCCAAAAACCCCCTGGCATTGAGGAGCTGCTCCTCAAGAGCCAGGCCGTCAACTTTAAGGTCCTGATCCGCGGATGCAGAAAAGAGCCTTGAGAAATCAGATCTTCCCTCTTCGGGAGAGGAAACGGGTGAACTGAGGTAAGACTGTTCAGTAGGGAGAACCAGGGCCTCTTTGGCCAAAAGGGTGCTATTAAGACTAGATCAGTCTTTTCCCTCCCAAACTTTTGCAGAACCGCCGGGATTAGTCTCACCAGACAAAATGCATAAGTTGAAGTCCCAAGGGGTCAACAAGCATCTATTCCGAAGGCCTGCTCCCTTGGATTCAGGGAAAAAAAATTGACCAACTTTTTTGTTCTCTTGGGATGCAAAAAGATCGATCTCCGGAACCCCCCCATCTGCTGACTGTCTTGAAAGACCTCCTGGTTGAGAGACCAATCGTCGTGACTGGTCATCGACTCAGGAAGTCCGCTAGGGAGTTCTGTGACCCCTTCAAATGAACGGCGGACATTAATAGATTCTGTTCGTCCCAGGCCAGAATAACACCCACAATCTTCTGCAGAGAAGGGCTCTGTGTACCTCCCTGCTTGTTTATGTAGGCCACTGTCGCTATGTTGTCTGACCAAACCTGCAAGTGACGGTTCTCTAACTTTGCTCCAAAGGCCTCCAATGCCCTCTGAACTGCCATCAGCTCCCTCTGATTTGAAGGCCTTAAAGACTCTGCCCAAACTATCTCCCCTGAGCTGTCAAGTCGTCTAGATGGGCTCCCCAACCATAACTGCTGGCATCCGTTGTCACAATGAGCGGAGCTAACTGACCCCACTATAGTCCTTTGGTCAGATTTGCTTCCTTCCGCCACCACCAAAGAGACCTCGTGACTTTGGACGGGAAATGGACCGCCTGCTCTAAGGTAGAGCTCTCCCCATCCCATACCCTCAACAGGAATGCCTGAAGTGGCCTTTGGTGGAGTCTTGCCAAGTGGAACCGCTGGAAAAGACGTCAGACCTACTGCTCTTGAGACTTCTCTTACAGACAGATTGCGTTGCAATCTTGCCAATGTCTGGTCCATCTTTACGACCTTCTCCTGAAGGAAAATCTTCCTCTCCAGTGACGAAATCTCGTATCTCAGGTACACTACTCTCTGAGAGGATGCAAGTGCCAATTTGTCCCCGTTGAGCCAACCCAGACCCTGAAGGAGATCCTGAGCCACCCACAGCTCCTCGGTCAATTGCTGATAAGAACTGGCCACAAAAAGATCGTCCAAATAAGGAACAATCGTGATCGACCTCAACCTCAGGGGAACCAAAGCCTCCGCCAACACCTTGGTAAAAATCCTTGGTGCCGATGCTAGGCCGAAGGGCAAGGCCTGACACAGCCAGTGGAAGACCTGCAAACCCATTCTTAGGTATTTCTCTTGATGAATGGGGATGTGAAAATACACGTCCCTTAGATCTAGAGTGGCCATAAAACAATTCTGAAAAAGAATATTCCTTACAGAATATATTGACTCCATCCTGAAATGTTTGCATCTCAGGGCCTGATTCAGAGGTCGAAAGTTCAAAATCAGCCGAAACCTGCCCAAGGGCTTTCCCACGACAAATACGTGGTAATAACACCCTGAGCCCAGTTCGCACTGAGGCACCCGAACTAGGACTAGCTGGTCTACCAGATCCCCAATCAGACCGCATAGAGCCTGAGCCTTTCTGGTCTTTGGGAGGAGGTTGGTGACTAAAAACTTGCTTGGAGGACAGAATTCGAACTCCAGTTTGTAACCCCTCTGAATCAGGTCCAAAATGTAGGGGTTCAGGGAGATAGACGCCCGAGGGAGAAAGGACCCCAATCTTCCCCCCACCGGAACGCTTAAGTCATTGTGATTTGGAGGGGCCTTGAGGAGGATTGAATAAAAATCACTCTTTCCCCTCTTCTTATGCCCAGTTCAATGTTTTTTGGGCTGGGCCTTCTCTACCCTGCAGCATCTGGGGTTTTGGACGAAACGTCTTCCTGGGAAATATTCTTTACTTTCTGGGAAGGCTTTCTTTTTGTCGGCAATACGTTCGAGAGCCTCCTCCAACCCGGGACCAAAAAGATTCTCCCCAGAGAAAGGCAAGGCGCAAAGGCGTAGTTTAGACGCAGAGTCCCCTGCCCAGGTTTTTAACCATAAGGCCCGCCTGGCCGAATATCTTGCTGCCAGCTTAACAGACTCCACCGAGGCGTCTGCCAAAAAACCAGCTGCTTTGAAAAGTAAAGGCATAGATTTCAAAATCTGCTGCCTAGAAGTTCCTGCTGCTAGATGGTTCTGTAACTGGGTAAGCCAGCATTCTAAATTTCTGGCGACACAGCAGACGTAGCAGAAAGAGCTGGTTTAAAGCTAACTGAAGAGGACTCCCAAGCCCTACCTAGCAGGATGTCACCTCTTGTCCATGGGGTCCTTTAACACCCCCATGTCCTCGAAGGCTAAATCCATTCTTTTAGAAATCCTGGACAAAGGAGCATCCAATCTTGGAACCTTATTCCAAGGCTGAGCAGCATCTTCATCAAATGGAAATCTTTTCAAAGCCCCTGAAAAGAAGGGGTTCTTTTCTGGATTTTCCCATGCTTGATGGTGTCAAAGAACCATGAAAACTCTGCTCTTCTTAGCATGGAGCCCCTGGTACATGAGGTCATGCTTAGACAATGACACTTCCTCCTCCTCAATTTCCAAGGTCTCATAGATAGCCTTTAAGAGATCGTCCACATCCTCTATGGCCAATTTATATCTGGAGCCTCTAGAAGCGGTACTCTCCTTGTTATCGGCCTCTGAACCCAAACCAGCCTGAGAGGAGGGAAGGGACCAAGAGTCCTCCTCTTCCTGTCTGACCGCCCCTACAGCTGTGGCCAACTGTGCCCCAGGCCCTAGTGGAGCCTGCATCCTATCCAACAGTGACCTAAAAGACTGAAGCGTGGCCGTCATGTCATCCTTGATTGAAGATAACACCTTGTGGCAGGTCGTGAAGGACTTATCCTTCACAAGGCTATCAATGCAACCACGGCACAGGGGTTTCTCACATGTAGACCTCAACTTAGCCACGCACACTTTCTCTTTAGGGCCTGAACCGGGGGCCTGTCCTGGGTCTTAACCTAAAGAAAAAAAAAAGGACAGAAGAACAAAAACGGGCCCTCAGCTCCAAAAAAACCCACCACACACCGTGTTTTAGGGGAATGTGAAGCGTGCCCCCCCCCTTCATCACCTGCCCCACTGGGGAGACCATCAACCACCCTCCAAGGAGTTCGCTAAAGGGGACCCTCCACCATGCCTGAGAGGAGCCGGAACCAGGATCCGTCTGCAACGAAGGGCCCGCATCCATGTTCCATCTGTTGTGGATCACACAACCTCTGCTGGCTACACACCTCACCGACCGCCCGCATGGGAGCCTGCGCTTCTTCAGGAGCCTGGAACCAGCGTCTGGCGCCCGTTGCTGACGTCACTGTGCCAGACTTCCGGTCCGTGGAGCGCAGCCTATTCCCTGGAAGTGACCTCACTTCCGGTCCGTGGAGTGCAGGACCCTGCTGGAACGCAAGGCCTCCCCCTACCGGAAGTCCTGCCTGTTCCCTTCCGCCCAGCACGCCTGTACCTGGGGGAAGAATTAACCAGGCCCAAAGGGAGCGGATGCCCTAGCTCACCGCCGGACACCCCCCGCTCCCCTGCCACTGCCGGTCCCCCGCCTGGGGATGAAGGCTCCCACCGCTGCCAGCTCTACTCACTGCAGAAGGATAGCGCTGGGGAGGTGGTAAGCGAATCCCTGGGTCCACACTCTTCCAAGACTACCCCTCAGAGTGCAGAGCCCGTAGATTCCAAACATGTTCCTTCCAGATCAGGAAACACTAAAAACTGGGGATGGAGGCCTGGAGGTCCGCCTTTAAAGGTGCGGGGGATGGCATGTTTCCTGACCCGAAGGGAGGAGCTCTACGTCTCAAGGGGCTGTCCTGGAAGACGCAAGGAGAAAAATTTTTTAAAGGCTATTAAAGCCTAAAAGCAGTGAAGTCCATTAAGAAATGGAAGGTATTTGGTACAACACATACAGAAATTCTCCACAAATCTGGCTTGTATGGGAGGGTTGCAAGAACTTGCGAGTCTAGATGTGTAAAATTAGTAGAGACATATCCCAACAAAACTAAAGTGGTTTAACAAACTACTGACACAAGGGGACAATCCTTTTTCCAACACCATGATTTTGTTTTGATTTTTTTGATGGCATGTTAGATATATAACATCCAAGTGAAAGATAAGTTACACTGCAAATACAGCTGGATAAATCGAATGTTGTGCCTTCCAACCTGCATTTGAGCTAGGTAGTCAAGATTTCAAGGTGGCAAACCATCCAAAATTTGTACCGTAAAGAAACCACAATTTTTTTTTTTTATATAACATTTTATTGAGACCTAGCTGTAACAAAGCAAAATAGATGGAACAGATCAAGCTTTGCTTTAGGCAGTCTCCTCCTTTGCCAGACGGTCTTTCTTGAGTGGTCCCTGTTAAAAAGAAAGCAAAAAAAAAAAAAAAGTTTCAACCAGTTTATCTTTCCAACATTGTGATCATTTATAAATGCATACATTGAACAAAAGCTATGGGGCAACAAAGAGGTGTTACATCAACAGCTCTGTGTGACCATATATTCGTAATGAACAAATCACTAGTCCAAGCAAAAACCGCTTCTTATATAGTAGCCTTAATTGCCTAAAGGAGAGTGCTCAACCTTTTGAAGAGCAAGGGCCATTTAGGTGATTTGGTAATTTGTCATGGGTCACAATGACATTTTTCAAAATTTCACTTTAATAGCATAATGAACATTTTCCTCCTGCATGCCAGCAGGATGGAGAGAAGCCACCTTTCAGTGATTGCAGGAGGAAAATGTTGAGGATTGGTTCCTGTATATGCCAACTCTACCACCACTTCTGTCCAAGTGCAAAACAAAGTGACAGAGGCCACACAGGCCCCCTGGAGCATGGGGCAGGGTTGCCATTGCAACTTGACGCATCAGTGGTTGGAGGGTGTGGTTAAGTCTCAACTACAGGGTTTTACCACCCCACCCTTCCCCGTAAACTGTTACTGTCCTGAGCCCCCTATAATGCTGCTTTCACAGTGATTTACTGACGTTTACCCACACCACAAATGCAGCAGTGCACCTGTGGCGTAAATTTACCATAGATTATATCTTGTGGCTGTGGTGCACCTTCAGAAAGTGCACCAAAACTTCTGCTTTCGGTTTGTGAAGGACAAAATCAGAGGGCTCTGAGGGCCACAGGTTGAGCACCTGTGGTCTAAAGATTCTTGGCAGCCTGTTACATTTGTTTGAATCCTTTACACATTGTATGACCTCTTGTCAAATTAACAGCAACGCATGAAATGTATCCTTCTAGAGCCAAATGAAGCCCAAACAACAATATCTCAGCAGATTGCAAACTCAAACTCTGAAACTTTGGTTTGACAGTATTTCCTTCTGCTGGCATGCTACAACCTTTTGACATGAACACTTAAATTTCCCCAGGATCTACATACCATGAAAGCCTTCTTTTCCTCTGCTGTCTGGAAACGACCATGTCCAAATTTAGAGGTGGTGTCAATAAATTTAAGATCAATCTTCTCCAAAGCACGACGACTTGTTTGCACAAGCAGAGACTAGGGAAATTGAAAAAAAAAAAAAAAATTAGATATCAACCACAGATTCAAAATGCACTCTCGTTTTTTTGTATATGATATTTACCTTGCGCAATGTGAGAACTCGCTTCTTGGTCCCAACAACACAACCCTTTAGCATGATAAAGTCATTTTTCACTTCTCCATAGTGAACAAAACCACCCTAAAAAAAATAAAAATTCAATTAAAAAACCCATTAAGTACTACCATAAAGTAACCTTTAAAGTCTAGTTACAAATGCGACAAAACACACACACACACCTTTAAAAGCACATTCTAACAACCCCAGCACTATTACTAACCCCAATAGTACAGTTCTCATGTCTAAAGCTGGTCATGGATCAAAATTCAGCTGGTTCAACAGAGACCTTTCACAGGCATCCCCAATTGAATGAAGTTGAAACTTCTAACAGGCTGGCTGAAAAACGTCTTGATCAGCAGCTACAGCTGCTAATCAATGTATTCTAATAGCAGCCAATCCCTGCTGTCCGAATACAAAGCCTCAGCGGAGAGGATGTCCACCTTCCTTGTGTGGATAAATTAGTCTTTAGGTTTTTTTTTTTTTTTTTTTTTTTTATCTATAGCTAGCTTTACAAGGCAGTTAGAAAAATGTAGTCACCATACTTTCAATATAAAAGGCTGGTGATAAAAAAAACAAAGTCCTCAGAAGGAAGGCAGCATGGAATTAATCTTCATGCATTTCAGGAGCTGCGCCCAGCACTTAATTCCATTGCTTCATCATAGGACAACCCACAGTTGGACCATCTTGTAGAAAATACACTGATATACACTGTAGAACAGTGGTCTACAAACTGTAGCCTGGAGGCTCAATGTGGTCTTTGATTGCCTTTATCTGGCCCTTGAGGCACTTACCAGCCAACTGTCATCAATGATTGAGCACCAATGCTTCCTACTGACCATCAATTGAGCACTATTCTCTCTGAGGATAGGGCACGATCCTTGCTTTAAAATAAATGGGGCACTGATGCCAGGGCATTTTCTATTTCCACTGGCTGCAGTTCAGCCTCCTTAAAGTCTGAAGGACAGTAAACTGGCCCTTTGCTTGGAGAGTTTGGAGACCCCTGCTTTAGCAACGGTCCATATTGTCCAAATGTTTCTAATGAACTCCAGAGACCATTTAAACCCTATGCAGTCCACATGGGCCATTTTATTTAAATTTCTGCTTTCATCAGTAGTTTTCCACACCTACAAAAGACTCACTAATACTTCACGTTTTGTTGTACCCTCACATATACAAAAAGGTAAACTGGTCTAATTCAGTGTGAACACCACATTACAATCTGACTTTGCCAAAGACAGGGAAACTAAATTTTTACTATGGGCAAAAAGTGCACGATTCATTCTCACTAGCATTAACAGCAGTTTATTTTTCTGATCTAACAAAAAAAAAAAAAAAAAAAAAAAAAGTACCGTTTGGGTCAAGAGCCAATTAAAGATGTGCCAAACATGCCACTTACCAGAGGGTTGATACTTTTGTCTGAAAGGTCATAATCAGTTGAAGCATTGTTCTTCACAAGTTTACCATCCTTTGAGTGGTAGCCCTGTCCAATTTTGTAGATCTGGGAAAAAATTAAATGCACAGATAAAACATTTGAAAAATGCCAATGTACCATGGACTGCCATACTTAAATTGGAACTTCACCCAAAAGTGGAAGTTCCACTCTTCCTTCTCCACCTCTGCCAAGTTTTATTTTTTTTGGAGGTGTGGGTGGTTGGGGGAGCATGTATGTGGCCTTGACAGGTACCTGCTCCCATGGCAGGTCTGCTCACTGCAGCGATTTTATTAGACGTTCTCCTCCCCATCCACCACCTTCTGAGAAATGTCACAGGTCAAGGGCTGTAGGACCAAAGTGCAGAGCAGTTTGCTCTTAAACAATGGGAAGCCAGCTATGAAGCCACAGCCAGCTGCAGTTAACATGCAAGCACCGGGTACTCAAAGACTGGGGAAGAATCAGGCCAGGTGAGGACAGTGCTAATCCATGGACAGGAGCATTAAAAGTCAGCAGCTACAACAATTGTAGCTGCTGACTTAATTTTTGCAGCACCGACAAGCTCCACTAACCTAAAAAAAAGTAGACAATCTCTTGCACTGGGTACCCCTGCACTGTAAGGGTTAAAGGCTTTTTTAGGTGTGCAGGAATAAAGGCGTAAACTTGCCTTATTTCAGTCTTCAGTCCACCTCCTACATCCATGCAACTAGTCCAGGGATCACTGACAGACACTCAGCTGCAGTCACACACTCAAAGTACAAAAGCAGGGTGATAGTCCTCCTGCACTTTAACACAAAAGGGGGACCATCCACAGCTTTGGATAGAAGAGAACAGCACTGGAGCTTGACTGAGGGATATGGCGAGTAAAACTTTACCCAGGCACCTCAGAAAAAATAAGCATTTAACACTTACAGTGTGGGGAACCCAAGCCCCCAGGATGCAGCTTTAAATGGACTGCTTTACTTAAGCAATCTAACATTGACAGGTAGCATAGCGGATTTAATCACATTATGTCTTAATCACCTCAACATGCAAAAATACAAACTTTACAACCCACAGTGACCATTCTAGATATAAAACTTATTCCAGTACACTATTACACCTCTAGTGGCTTGTAACAAATACAAGTCTCTAGGCCTACCTAAAATTAACCCAAAAACCAGGTGGCGCATGGGGGACGTTTGCTGCATGAACTCCTACCTTCTTATTTATCTCAGTCCGGTGATGGTATCCCTTTTGGCCAGCACGAGCAACAGAGAAGGCAACTCGGGCAGGATGCCAGGCTCCAATACAAGCAACCTTTCGCAGACCCCTGTGAGTCTTACGTGGCAGTTTCTTTGTGTGCCAACGGCTAGTCACACCTGCATAAAAAAAACAAAAAACCATGATTTAGATCGAACAAGTAGCACAATTTTCAAACAGTTCAATATAACCACGTTCTCAGAAGGAAGGCAGCATGGAATAATTCCTCAGGAGACATCAGGCACTGTGCCCAGTGCTTGTTCCATGACCTCATCACAGAACAGAAGAAAAAAAAAAAAAAAAAAGTGTAACTTACACTTTATATACACAAAAGACATAGGAAATTCCAGTAATGTGTGATTAGAAATTTAGTAATCAACCAGGATTTACAACACAATTAGTCACACTTTCAGATACTTGCAGCATCAAAAAGGTCCAGTAGTTAGTACACTCACCTTTGTAACCCTTTCCTTTTGTGACTCCAATGATATCAATCATTTCATCCTGCCCAAAGACTCCAGACACTTGTACCTGCTGCTCTAGCTTCTCACGTGCCCAGTCAACCTTCTGAGCCACTGTACCACCATTAACTTGGATCTCCATGAGATGAGACTTCTTCTGTCTCAAGGGCAGGAGGCGCATCTGAAAAAAAAAAAAAGCCTGCTGCAGAAGAATGTATTTTGGTGTAGAGAACCTGTGCTTTGACAGTCCTAAACAGTTTACTGAAAGCTTCAAATTGCAAATTTTCAGCCTGATCTGCTCTGCCTGGAAACCAGGAAGGTCTCACCTTTGTCAGTATTGAAGTGGTGCTAAAGGGGTTAATACTCCCCTATCCAACAGTCCCCCTACAGCTTCTTTTCCAATGTGCAGTCTATGGCAGCCTTCAAGCACATGTCATCTCTGCCTAGTAAATACATCTATGGAATGACAAATTGTCACAGAGTTTTCAACTGACCACTGGCAAGTAAAAATGTGCACCAGTTTTAAAAGTCTGACAGAATGATGTTGACCTAAAACAAATAGCTGCCATAGACTGACCACTGCCTGTTGACGCCCAGTTCATGAGAACTGCCTCTGTGCCTTAAACATACAGAGAACTTCCATATTTTACCCTGAAATGCTCCCTTTACTTTAAAGCAGCGGTTCTCAACCTGGGGGTCGCGACCCCTTTGGGGGGTCGAACGACGCTTCCACAGGGGTCGCCTAAGACCATCGGAAAACACATATTTCCGATGGTCTTAGGAACCGAGACACCGCTCCGCGCCGCCGCCATCTCCAGGTGTGGGCGGGATGACATGCCGCCCCTGTCATCTGGACACACCTCGAGATCAATCCTCGCCTGTGATTGGCCGCCGGCACTGTAGCTCAGGAGAGGCACACAGGCGGCCAATCACCGGCAAGGAGGTGGAGCTTGGAGAGGAGGAGACGAGCGGCACCGCGAAGATCGAGCGAGTGAAGAGGAGGAGAGCGGCCGGAGAAGGAAGACATCTGACAGGTAAGTGTCGGTACCATGGGAGAGGGAGGGAGCGAGCGAGCCCAGGCTGGAGCAGGGGTCTGCAAGGTAAGTATCATTGGTGTCAGTGGGAATAGTGCCCCATCATTGGTGTCACTAATAACAACGATGGGGCCCAATTCCTCCCCCCACTGACACCAACGATGGGGCACTATTCCTCCCCCCCACTGACACCAACGATGGGGCACTATTCCTCCCCCCACTGACACCAACGATGGGGCACTATTCCTCCCCCCACTGACACCAACGATGGGGCACTATTCCTCCCCCCACTGACACCAACGATGGGGCACTATTCCTCCCCCCACTGACACCAACGATGGGGCACTATTCCTCCCCCCACTGACACCAACGATGGGGCACTATTCCTCCCCCCACTGACACCAACGATGGGGCACTATTCCTCCCCCCACTGACACCAACGATGGGGCACTATTCCTCCCCCCACTGACACCAACGATGGGGCACTATTCCTCCCCCCACTGACACCAACGATGGGGCACTATTCCTCCCCCCACTGACACCAACGATGGGGCACTATTCCTCCCCCCACTGACACCAACGATGGGGCACTATTCCTCCCCCCACTGACACCAACGATGGGGCACTATTCCTCCCCCCACTGACACCAACGATGGGGCACTATTCCTCCCCCCACTGACACCAACGATGGGGCACTATTCCTCCCCCCACTGACACCAACGATGGGGCACTATTCCTCCCCCCACTGACACCAACGATGGGGCACTATTCCTCCCCCCACTGACACCAACGATGGGGCACTATTCCTCCCCCCACTGACACCAACGATGGGGCACTATTCCTCCCCCCACTGACACCAACGATGGGGCACTATTCCTCCCCCCACTGACACCAACGATGGGGCACTATTCCTCCCCCCACTGACACCAACGATGGGGCACTATTCCTCCCCCCACTGACACCAAGGATGGGGCACTATTCCTCCCCCCACTGACACCAAGGATGGGGCACTATTCTCCTCCACTGACAGCAATGATGGGGCACTATTCCTCCCACTGACACCGATGATGGGGCACTATTCCTCCCACTGACACCCACTACTGACACCGATGATGGGGCACTATTCCTCCCACTGACACCGATGATGGGGCACTATTCCTCCCACTGACACCGATGATGGGGCACTATTCCTCCCACTGACACCAATGACGGGGCACTATTCCTCCTCCCACTGATACCAATGACGGGGCACTATTCCTCCTCCCACTGATACCAATGACGGGGCACTATTCCTCCTCCCACTGATACCAATGACGGGGCACTATTCCTCCTCCCACTGACACCAATGACGGGGCACTATTCCTCCTCCCACTGACACCAATGACGGGGCACTATTCCTCCTCCCACTGATACCAATGACGGGGCACTATTCCTCCCACTGACACCAATGACAGGGCACTATTCCTCCCACTGACACCAATGACGGGACACTATTCCTCCCACTGACACCAATGATCGGGCACTATTCCTCCCACTGACACCAATGATGGGACACTATTCCTCCCACTGATACCAATGATGGGACACTATTCCTCCCACTGATACCAATGATGGGACACTATTCCTCCCACTGATACCAATGATGGGGCACTATTCCTCCCACTGATACCAATGACGGGGCACTATTCCTCCCACTGACACCAATGACGGGGCACTATTCCTCCCACTGACACCAATGACGAGGCACTATTCCTCCCACTGACACCAATGACTGGGCACTATTCCTACCACTGATACCAATGACGGGACACTATTCCTCCCACTTGCACCAATGACAGGGCACTATTCCTCCCACTGACACCAATGAAAGGGCACTATTCCTCCCACTGACACCAATGAAAGGGCACTATTCCTCCCACTGACACCAATGACGGGACACTATTCCTCCCACTGATACCAATGACGGGACACTATTCCTCCCACTTGCACCAATGACAGGGCACTATTCCTCCCACTGACACCAATGAAAGGGCACTATTCCTCCCACTGACACCAATGAAACGGGGCACTATTCCTCCCACTGACACCAATGACGGGGCACTATTCCTCCCACTGACACCAATGACGGGGCACTATTCCTCCCAATGACACCAATGACGGGGCACTATTCCTCCCAATGACGGGGCACTATTCCTCCCAATGACACCAATGACGGGGCACTATTCCTCCCACTGATACCAATGATGGGGCACTATTCCTCCCAATGACACCAATGACGTGGCACTATTCCTCCTACTGCAAAATTACAGTTATGAAGTAGCAACGAAAATAATTTTATGGTTGGGGGTCACCACAACATGAGGAACTGTATTAAGGGGTCGCGGCGCTAGAAAGGTTGAGAACCACTGCTTTAAAGCAAGCCTGCTATGCGCTTACAGCTGCTTATGCAAACTTATCTAATGGTCCAAAAAAATGCACTATACTAGACTAGCCCAGTCCTAACGAGGGGAACTGAAGAGTGGTGCAAGCACAAGCTCGCATTGCTGTTTTGATAAAAAAATGCAGCAGATTCTGCTGCTAAAAAAGGAACACAAGCCCCTTAGACTTGAATCAGTTCTGTTCTGCTGTGACTGCATGCCTTAATCTCTGCCATCCCTGTCCCACTGATCTGCTTCGAGCAAGAGGAAGGTTAACCCTGCAGGTTCTGCTTCTGTATTGCAATCACTGCAGGAGAGAGTGTTTCGAGCTGTCTTGACCATTCACACCCTTTACTTGGGCAAACCTGCACTAGTTCCCATTTCAAACTGAAATAGAATCTGGTGTGGGTGGAACAGAGACCTGAAACATGTCTATTTGCTTAGCCAATGCACACCCCACAACACACCTTAAAGTGCAACACTGTAATGGCATGGAAAGCTCAGTTTGTACGCACCTTGAGGGTTAGGGACTGATGTGAATGTATAATATATATGTAAAGAGCTGCGTAAAATTGACAGCGCTATACAAGTACCTGAAATAGATCCCTGGAAAGGGCATACAGTAGGGCTGAAGCAACGCCCCAAAAGCAGTTACCCAGTATGCACAGTTTAAGCTTGTGCCTGAATGAGCTTTTCCTGTTGAGGCACATCCCCTAAACCTTAATTACCTTTTCAATCCTAGACCAGATTGGCTCCTGAATCCTACATTTGTCCACTTGTATATGCAGGGTCAGGCCACAACAGCATGTTAATCACACATCAAGCATGACACTTGCACTGTACTGCTAACCAACTTCAGACCATCTGCCTTCCAAATCCACCTATAGCACAGGTGTCAAACTGGCAGCTCTCCAGCTGTTGCCAAACTAAAAGTCCCAAGAGGCATTGCAAGATGGACAGTTACAAGCATGACTCCCAAAGGAAAAAGGATGATGGGACTTGCAGTTGCAACAGCTGGAGGGCCACCAGTTTGACACCTCTGACTTATAGACTTTCCTAGTTTAGTGGATTGACCTTCAAATGAAATCAAAGCAGCTTACAGAACTGCTAACAGATCACCCACCTGTGTATGGGAAATGACCCTGATGACCTGGCAGTATTTCTTCATGCTGCTGAAGTCTTTTTCCAGCTGCTTCTTGCCTTCTTCATCCTGCCACTTCTTGCAGTACTTCGTAAAGGCCTTCTTCTTTGACTTATACCTTTAACGGCAGATCATGAGAGTTGGAACGGCCCTTCATCAAGCCTTAAAAAGGACATGAGCGGAAGAAGCCAGACCTTGTCAAGTGTTCAGCTCATTGCATGGCTTCAAAGGAGTTTTTCAGCCAGCAAGCGGAGCCTGGAGCTCATCAGACAAAGGCAAAAGCCAGTGCTGAGAGGAGCTGCCAATGTTCATTCCAAGTGCATTTAATATTTGCAATCAAAAAAGGTTACATAAAATGCATGTTATGGAACATTAAAGCCCATCATCAGGGAGAGGAGAAAAAAAAGCTCCATTGCAGTGATGCTACACTCTTAAGTAGCTAGTTTCCCAGCAACCGCCACTATGTGTTGTATGACTGGTCCTGAATCCTCCTCTCCCTCATGTTCCTGCACATTGTCACAGGTCCTCTGACACTGTCGAGACAAATACAGAGACCATGGCCCTGCACTGGAAGAGGACACCGAGGACAGTTCCACTGCCAGAGGGTAGAGAAGCAGAGGACAATACCAGCTGCTGCAGGAAGCAAACGATCAAGCAAGTTAAACTGCCTTTATGACCCTAGATTCAAATAAGTACACATTTTCAGTGCAGAGGAAGCCCTGTTGCAAGGGAGCATTTTTGTTCCTCTTCCCCTACCCAAGAATTTAGCTCTAAATGGGACAAAACCAGCAGTTCTTGCCAAGGCAGTCTTATGCAACTATAGGATATATGAAAAACAGCTGGAAACCACCCTAAACCGTGTTTGCACAAGCACTTAGAATCTTGAAGTGCTCCCAAAGATCTAAAGTTGTGCACACATACCTGGGTTACAGCCACGATTATATTTGGCCTACTTTGATATTACAAGAGCTCTAAAGCATTTAAATCCTGTATTAAATGCTAGTGTGATTGTTAGTATACAACCCAGATCACTTACCAGTTCTTGTAGAAGCGCCTTTTGCATTCATCACTTATGTGTTCAGCGAAGATGGTCTTGAAGCTGCGGAGACCTCGTGGAGTCTGGACATAACCCACAATGCCAACGATAACCATGGGAGGCGTTTCTACCACAGTCACTGCCTCGACAACTTCCTTCTTGTTTACCTCTGAATTACACAATGGTAAAAGTTAATCATAAAATCAAGAGTGCTAATGATATCAAGCATCTAGCCATTTACACAAACCCTTAAACTTTCTTGGGATTAACCTTTTATTAAATCCACAAAGCATTTTGTTTGTGCTTTCAAGCCATCAGTACAGCACAATTTGAAATTTTAAAGGTTACAGTCAGAACTCGACATTCAGCAACGACAGCCAGAGGCTGTCAATCAGTCCGCCCGTCGAGAATGTTTCATCATTTGTAGCCTGAAAGGAAAGCATGCTCCTCCACTCTTCCTACCACTCCATCCCCCACAGCTATCTCCTCCTGTACCACTATCCCCTCCCTCTTAGATTGTAAGCTCGAAAGAGCAGGGCCCTCGATCCCTCATGTTCTGCATTGTATTGGTATTGTTCTGTCACATGTTCTGTCCCCCTTTGTAATGTACAGCGCTGAGCGAACTATTGGCGCTTTATAAATACTGTATAATAATAATGCTACTATATTCCAAAAGTTTAAGACCTCTACTCTGCATACAAAGGCAGCTTGCATTATAAAAGTCAAAGGTTAGGGTGTTGCAACTTTAAACTGCCCAGGTTATACATATTACTATAAAAAAGGTACACTGTTGGCCAGTAGGAGATTCCAAATTTTAGAAAGGTTATGTTATACAAGGCCGTGTTAAAACAGAAAATGGCAGCCAAAATATAGCTAGCAGGGAAAGATGGTAGTTTCTAAACAGCTATACCAATAAATTAGAGTTTGAGCCATAAAGTTCAATTTATGTGGCCGTTTTACACTTACTTGAGCCAGGCCTGTCCACCTCCCTGACAATGTGGGTCATACCAGCTTTATAACCCAGGAAAGCTGTTAGATGGATTGGTTTACTGGGGTCATCTTTAGGGAAGCTCTTGACCTTGCCACGATGTCTCTTGCTGCGTTTGCGGGGCAGAAAGCCGAGAGAGCCATGCCTTGGAGCAGAGAACTTTCGGTGCGACTACAAAAACCAAAGTGAAATGGTATATCAGGACAATGAAACAGGACACCAGGCAAAAAATGAAAACACATCCACGTCATGATTAAACAACCCACATCTCACCCAAATATGCTTTAAGACCTTATTTATAAACAGGTAGTCCAGACTCCTTTAACTGCCACCCCCCCCCCCCCCCCCCCCCCCCCTTCCCCAAGCCTAACCAGACAGACCGTTTCGTTGCTGGTGAAATACAACGCACTCAAGTTAACAGGTGGCACAGCCAATCAAATTTGCCCACTAAGTCAATGGGACTACGCTACAACAGCAAGCTAGCTGCTTGGCTTACAATGTGAGTTCCATTTGAAACCAGTTCTAGTGGAACAGCAGCTGCTGATTGCCCAGAAACTGCTAAAAATAAAATTATCGGCTCACACTTCTTCCTCTATCTATACATATTTAAATGATACACCAGCAAGCATGCGTGGGAGTTACGTCATCGCAGCTCTGCCACTCAAGCGGCTGGAGCCCACAAACCAGGAAAAATGATTCAGTGATATAAGCCTGTCAGCAGTGACAGCATGCCATTGGAGGGCTTAGTTTTAAGGAAGGCCTTTCATAATGTGCTAAACATGCAGGGTGAAGATTTGTTCTTTTTTTGTGGTTTATTACCACTTTAAACACATATCTGAACACGTTTCATAACCGTTAGGACTCACACACGAGCTCAAAACCGCCTGTTTTACAGGCATTTGACCTTTATTTTTTTAAAAAACACACCTCCATGTTAGTCTATGTATCCACACACAGGTGTTTTACAGGAGTTTAGAGGCAGAAAAGCACACACACACTCTCCGGAGGAATATTTGGGCTGAATAAAAAGCACACAAACCGGCATAAATGGAAGGTCTATGTATACATTCCTAATGGTCAGATTATTCTAGCCAATAGACTGCATTAACACCAAACAGCTGAACGAGCATAAACGTACATGCAAAAGTGTGGCTTTTGCTGCAGTAACAAGAAAAGGTGTCCAAGCCCTGGTCCACACTGATGCGACTTTAGATGTGAATCAGATAGCACTGAAATCGCACATCAAGGGAAACAACACTGGTTCCTCTGGAGCCTGTTCACATCAATGCAGCACAGCTACAATCCAACTTTAGGAATTAATCCTTTGCTTCTTTAGTGCAATTCTGTGACTCAAACTGTCACTTCGCTTATCTAGCCTATCATAAGATTACAGCAGGTTTTCTTCCCCAGCACAGAAATTGTAGCTGTATTCAAATCACAAAGTCACTGCATCAGTGTGAACCTAGCCTACAGAGTGCGTGACCCTACTAACACGACAACGCTCCTTCAGCTTGAACGTAAGTGTCACAGGATCAAGAAATCCAGGAGTTGCAATTTACAAAGGATCAATCCCCAGGCACAGATCATATTGTTGTACTCATTCTATGTGTGTCTAACCTGCTTTGTGAACAAGTACAAATGCCATCAGGGCAACTGACAGGAAGGACTACCAGCTTAGATTTGCTCTACATGTCTCCAAAAAGGCTAGAATACCCCCATCTACCATCTGTTGGCAGCAATGGCACTCCATCTATGAAGAAACCACAAAACCCATCACTTATCTGTCTTGTAGTCATGTCTGTGGCTGTCCACATCGTGTCCTGGGACTTGTAGTACCACAACAGCTTGAGTACAGGACACTACCCACCACTGATCCCTCATACTGAGCTGTATAACATAATATAAAATACGAAAGACATCAGTGCTGCCACCCCCATGAGGAAAGCTGTGATGATTGTACACCAATGCCTGCAACAAGTCAGGACATGCTGATTGGTGGGCTGGCTGGAGATGCAGCATGATCCAATGGACACCTTCAGACTTTTGCAGGTGACATTTCTTGTGTCCAGGCTCCACCACCTATTTATCCCCCATACCAGCCTAGTTCTCTGGATCCCCTGCTGACTAAAAGGCCAGAAAATCCGATCTACAGAGAGCCCCGGAGACGTCAGAGCTCCATATACCAGACAAGAGATCTGATATTACAGAGAAATCCGCCCCATCCGGGTGTCCGGGCCACAGACACAGCGGTCACGTGTCCAGAACCAAGAATTGCGGCCTACAGGCCAGGCCTGGCGACCACACAGTGCGGGGAACAGCGAACTCATCTACAGCGGACACCTCACACCCTAATCCACACATGCACACCGCGGGTCCGGGAATGGGACCCCGGATGGCCTGGATATCACTCGGATTGGCTCCAGGCCTCCTCAGCCCACTCACCATCTTGTCTCGTCACCGAACTGGAAGAGAGAAAGAGGAAGCGACGTCCGTCCCATTTATAGACGTACAGTGCCGCCCCGCCCCGCCCCTTCCCTTTTTTTCTTCTAACTACAACTTTATTGGAAGAGCAACAATGTGTTTAATATATTAGAGTGCTGGGAGGGCGGAGAGGTGGGAGCTCTGTGTACCTACAACGAATCACAATGTATCTGTTCTTGTATTGGAATCCCACCCGTATACTCAGATATAACAGACATGTAGACAAGAAAGCCCGTGTCTTCCTCTGCTCAAGGGGCTCCATACACGAAGCTAAATCACTCATACAAGAAACGACACTGTCAACATCAGACATGAAATAGGAACAAAGCGTATCCCTCTATGGTGTGTGCTTGTCTCACTGCAGAACACGAAGGCGTTTATGTACTAAAGCTGGAGAGTGCCAGAACAAGCTCACTTCTACATAGAGACCAATCAGCTTCCAGGTTTATTACCAAAGCTTAACACAGAGCTCCCCCCAAAAGGGGAAATTCCACTTTAAAGAATGGCCCCCGCTCCCCATTAGGAACTGAAAGCTTTGGGGGTGGTGGGGGGGGGGGGGAAGCGGGTACCCAAATTTGACAGGTACCCGTTCCCACTTCTGCATCGATCGCTTAGGTGATCGGATGTGGAAGTTGTCCTCCCTTCCTCCCTCCCTGTAGTCTTTTGGGACACGTGACAGGTCCCAGAAGACTACAGGACCATTCAGGAAGTGCAGCGCTACTCGCGCATGCGCAGTGGGCACCTGGCTGTGAAGCTGCAAGAAGTCACAGCCGGGTGCCCACACTGAAGATGCCAGCACCAGGGAGAGAAGATGGTAGGTAAAACGGGACCGAGGGACAGGGGAGTGTGTGGTTTTTTAATAGTCAGCAGCTACAGTTGTTACAGCTGCTGACTTTTATTTTTTGACAGCGTGACTGGAACTCTGCTTTAATTGTACAGGCTGAGGTTAGCAGCTAATTGGTTTCTATGTAGAAGTGAGCCTGAGTTTGCACTCTCCAGCTTTAGTAACTAAACACTAAGGCTGGCCATACATTATACAATTTTCTGGAGAATTTTTCTTTAGGATTTACCACAAATCATATAATATGAGGATATAATATGAGGTGTGACGGGCGCGGCATCAGACCCCCAGCTCTTCTCACCAACTTGTGACCGAAGGACCAGCCAATCTAAAACTGCGCTGTCACATGCTTAACAATGCCACACTCAGCTGCACCCTGCACAAGGATTTTCCAGCTCACTGGACCACAATGTATGTGCTGCAGCCTGAAAGCGATTGTTACTACTCGGTCAGGTTAATTACGCAATTAATGCTTCACACTGCCACCACGCCTTTTTGTACAGAGAAGGAGGAAACTCGCCAATCTTAGCAGTAACACTATGATCAGGGGCGGACTGACAACTCATGGGGCCCCCGGGCAATAGGGGATCATGGGTCCCCTGTGTCCTTGCCCAAAAAAAAAAGCCTATGAAAAAGGTACCAGGGGCATCTCATGGGGCCCCCTACTGACCCCGGGCCCTTGGACAGTGCCCAAGTTTCCAAATGGTCAATCCGCCCCTCACTATGATGTTTGAATAAGCGTCTGTATACACACTGTCACCACAGGCAGATGTATGCAAAAGTTTTAAACCACACAGTAGCGCTCTTCAGAGACAGGGATTCTTCGTTTGCAGTAAAGAGATTTAGAAATAGTTCAACACGTTTCAGAAAATAGGATTTAATTACTAAAAAGGTCAAAATGGTGCAATAAAATTATTTACAGAAAAAGATGTAGCCAATATATATAACCGTATTTTTCGCTCCATAAGACGCACCTGACCATAAGACGCACCTAGGTTTTAGAGGCGAAAACAAGAAAAAAAAAATATTCTGAACCAATGGACTGCAGACACAGTACAGGGGATGACCAGAGACTGCGGACACAGTGCAGGAGATGGCCAGAGACTGCGGACACAGTGCAGGAGATGGCCAGAGACTGCGGACACAGTGCAGGGGATGGCCAGAGACTGCGGACACAGTGCAGGGGATGGCCAGAGACTGCGGACACAGTGCAGGGGATGGCCAGAGACTGCGGACACAGTGCAGGGGATGGCCAGAGACTGCGGACACAGTGCAGGGGATGGCCAGAGACTGCGGACACAGTGCAGGGGATGGCCAGAGACTGCGGACACAGTGCAGGGGATGGCCAGAGACTGCGGACACAGTGCAGGGGATGGCCAGAGACTGCGGACACAGTGCAGGGGATGACCAGAGACTGCGGACACAGTGCAGGAGATGACCAGAGACTGCAGACAGTGCAGGGGATGACCAGAGACTGCAGACAGTGCAGGGAATGACAAGAGACTGCTGACCTTTGGGGAGGGAGGGGGAGCGGGTACCTGAATTTGACAGGTACCCGCTCCCACTTCCGCGGAGTTGTCCTTCCCTCTTCTTCCCGGGCCGGCTTCTGTGACAGCCCGGTGCCCACTGCGCATAGCGCGCGAGAAGCGCTGTGCTTTTTGAATGGCCCGGGCCTTCTGGGACCTGTCATGTGTCCCAGAAGACACCGGATCATTCACAAAGCGCAGCACATGCGCAGTGGGCACCCGGCTGTCACAGAAGCCAGCGCGGGAAGACTGTGCAGCGCTGGAGCGAGGAACAGGTAAGGCCCTGCAGGAGAGAACAGCTGAGCGGCCGGCTCGGTATTCTG